TATTAAGTTATCTAAAACTTTTCCATATCAGCATCACTACACTATTTGTGCATTTTTACTGTGCATCACTGTGGGTATGCCAACAATTTTTGTGTCTTTTATACGTATATACACACAGAGGCGCAAACCCTTTGTGTGATGAGCTTAAATATTACATGAAAACTGCAGTCAGCCTTAAAATAACATGACATATATTAACTTAGTGAACTTTTTTTTTTTTTGAAAGAAGTCCATTTCATAAATACTGGATATATGAAAGTGAATAATACATGGTTTCTGACCTTGAAAGATGAGCTAAAAATAAATGCTAGAGGTATGTGTGGGTGACAGCAAAAAGGAGGGAGAGAGGAGGAATAGTTCTATTTCGGGATGTAGGGATGCCTGAAAAAGTTTATTGGAGCAAGTGATTTTGGAGGCATTGTTTGATATGTAGCTGCACATAGTCTGGGATGTGATGGTGGAGAAGGTGCTCAGTCCAGTCAGAAGCATAGTTACTATGCCATAAAGGGACCAAGAAATCATGATTTTGCAAATACCTATGGGTGGAAAACGTGAAGGACATGTATGGAGGAGTGGAAGAGAGGATGCTAGAGAGGTAGGTTGTGGAAGTTGAATTTTGTCCAGAAGATAATTGTGTGTGTGTGTGTGTGTGTGTGTGTTGCTGGAGATCAAATCCAGGGCTTTGCACATGCTAGAAAAGTACAATATTCTATCACTGAGCTACATCCCCAGCCCTGTCAAGCAGATTTTTAAATGTGTAATTAAATTCATGAAATCAGGGGACAGAGAGGTAGAGCAAGATGTGCCTTTTCCCAGTCAGTATGCTGTTGGCTGTGAGTTGTCGTGTATGGCCTGTTACTGTGTTGATGTACATTTCATCTATTCCTCATTTGTTGAGAGTTTTATCATAACAGGATGCTGAATTTGTCAAACGCTTTTTCTGTATTTACTGAAATGATTATATATTTTTTTATTTTTCATTCTGCTAATGTGATGCATCGTATTTATTGATTTGTGTATATTGAACCACCCTTATATTCCTGAGATGAATCCCTCTTGAGCATGGTCAGTGATCTTTTTAATGAGCTGTTCTCAGTTTGCTAGTATTTTGTTGGGAATTTTTGTATGTGTGGTGCAAGAAACGCTAAACTGAGTTTTTCAAGCTGAAAAGCAGGGACACTAATGAGGAACGTGAAGACATTTGAAAGTGTAAAACATTGGTAAATGAAAGGCACATACACCTGCCAAGATTCAACTCTAAAGAAATAGAAAATCTGAGCAGGCTTAATAATGAGTAAGGAAATTGAATTAATAAAAAGTCTACCATCAGAGAAAAGCCCCAGACCTGATGGCTTTTCTGATGAATTCTGTCAAACATTTAAAGAAAAACTAATACCAGTTCTTCCCAGATTATTCAAAAAACCTGAAGAGAAGGGAATACTTCTAAACTCATTCTACAAGGCCAGCATTACCTTGATATCAGTACCAGCTAAGGACATGGCAAAAAAAGACAAAAGAAAACTGCACACAAGTATGGACAAACACAGATAGTTAAGTTTTTGTCTGGAAATATCTTTATCTCATTTCTGAATGACGACTTTACTGGGACAGCATTCCTGATTGTCAGTTTTTTTCCTTCAGCACTTTGAATTCATCATTCCACTCTCTCTGGTCTGTGAAGTTTATGTAAGGAGAAGTTTGTTGCTAGGTATATTGTAACTCATATATAATTTAGTTCTTTTCTCTTGCTGCTTTCAAGCTCTTCTCTTTGTTTTTGGACAGTTGGATTGCAGTATATCATGGATAATCTCGTTTGGATTGAATCTGACTGGAGACTTTGGACTTTCTGTACTTGGATATTTTCATCTTTAGTTTTGGAAAGTTTTCTATTATTTAACAAAACTTTTCTATACTTGCTGTTTATACCAGTCATTTGTGCATTTGCTATTTTGCTGAAGTCCCATAAATCGTGAAAGTTTTCTTCATTTCTTTTCATTTTTTTGTCTCTTTTGATTGTGTATTTTCAAACAATCTGTCTTCTAGTTTACAGATTATTTTGCTTGTTTGTTTTGGGTTTTTTTGTTTGTTTATTTTTTTTGGTACCAGGGATCGAACTTGGAACCTTGTGCTTTCCAGTCAGGCAATGGAACCACTGAGCTAAATTCTCGGCCCTGCTTGGTCAGTTTGGATGTTGATGCACTGTTGCTTTTTTTTTTTTCTTTTTTTTCCATACAAGGTCTTGCTATGTAGTCTAGGTTGGCCTTCCACTCATTATGTAACCCAGGGTAGCCTTGAACTAGCAGTGTCCCTCCTGCCTCAGCCTCCCCAGTGCTGGGATTACAAGTGTGTGCCACCATGCATGGCCTGCATTTTTAAAAAATATATATAAATTTCATTCATTGCATTTTTCAGCTCCAAGATTTGTGTTTGATTTTTTAAAAAAATGTTTTATCTCTTAAATTTCTGTGATAAATTTCTGTATTTTTGAAGTTTGGCAAAACTTTCTTAAAACAGTTACTTTGAATTCTTTGTCAGGCAGTTAGTCATCTCCATTTTATTAGGATCAGTCACTGGAACCTTTTCTCCATTTGATGATGTGATGTTTCCCTGATGTTCTTGATCCTTGTGGTTGTTCCTTTATGCCTGTATGTTGAAGAAGTAGGTGTATATTCCAGTCTTTGCAGCCTGGCGAATGTTCTTCAACAGCAGTTCCTGAGTCCATGACCACTGCAACCGATGCAGTCTTGAGGTACTCTTAAGTCCAGGATTGCCATGACTGGTGAAGGTGAGGCTGATAATTCCTGGACTGGAATTGTGTGGCCATTTAGGCTGATCCAGTGGAGGAGGTGGGAGGGCCTGTGGTTGGGGGCCAACCTAAAGCCCATGGCTACTTGGCTTTACCTGATGCTGAGCTTTGTATGGAACTCAAGCCCTTTGCAGTAATTGGCAGTGATATGAGCTAGAATGCAAGTCTGTTTCCCAGGGACTATGCATTCCCATCTGGTGCCAGGGGTCAGGAAGCCTGTCCATGGGTACCAGCATGGAGTGAGGCTGTGAGAGTCTGTCAGGTGCTGGATTTTTACTGTGGCAGGCCTGGTATTGGGGTTCAAGACAGAGTCCTAAGCTTACTTTCCTCTCCTTCCGCCAAGCAGATGATAACTCTTTCTGTGCTGTGTTGGCTGGGATTGAAGATGCAGTGACATAGATAATGTAAAAGTGTTCTTCCTACCTTTTTCACTGTATCTTTTGTTATTTTTTTGCTATAACTAGAAACTGGTCTCTCATTTAGTTTCCATAGCTCTTGTGAAGGTAATTTAATGTAATGGATAGTTATTCAAATTGATGTTTTTTCAGGGGAGTGGTTGCTGGAGAGTCCTACTCCACTCCCTCCTGGGAACTAGACCTCAAATGTTAATGTATTGGGATGAATTGTGGAACTGTGCTGCGAGTCTAAATTTGGATTTTGTGCCCCTCTATGGCCCAGCTCTGGAGTTTGATTTTCATAGGTTCCTCACTCTGTCAACGGGGGAAATGTAAACTTTCTTGTTGCTTCTCAATGAATGTGGGTGTGGAGCTCTTTTTCATGCTCCTTTCATATACTGAGCAGCCTCTTTCAAGAATTTGTCTCAAAATACGAATTTCATGTCTTGCGTTTTCCTGGGCATTCTGTCTATGTAGTCCCTACCCTATAGACTACCTTGATGTCAGTTGGAGCCTACATCTCTGGCTTTGAGTTTTTCCATTTCTGGCACCTAGGAATTTCCCTCTCCTTTTCTCCTTTTTGAATTTAATTATTTGTTCTAATTTTTTATATTAATCTGGCATTTCAGTGAGTATATTTGAATTTAATTATTTGTTCTAATTTTTCACATTAATCTAGCATTTCAGTGAGTGTATTTGAGCACATGTATATTAGTCCAGTCTGCCTTTTTGCTTGAGTCGGACGTCTAATAAACTATTCCTTAATTTTTTTCTGCTTTGTTTCACAAAAAGGCTTTGAGGTTGGATTATATTAGTCTCTTTTTGAAAATATTATTTATTTTTAAAAAAGGATTATACATATACACAATCTGAAATTGGAAGGATAAAAAAGGATATATGTATCTTCTGTGCCCTGTTCTTGTACCCAACTCACCCCAGTTTTCCTTCACAGATATAACTAATTACCAGTTTCTTATGTATTCGTCTCAAGATTGACTATACACTAATTTATTCTTAAACAGAAGTTTAAACTTTCACCTAGTGTTTATGCTTTAATTTTGTAGCCAGTATTCAGAATTTTTCTATCTGTGACATGTAGCAATTGTATTTTCTTCTGCTCTGAGAGCTTTTAAGTTAGAACTTACATAGCTCAGTGGTTCTGGCAGCTGCTTCACAAGCGCAAGGTCCTGAGTTCGATCCCCAGTACCAAACCAATCAAAACAAAACAAACAGAACCTACACTAATTATGTTACTTGTATGTTTTATGTATATGAATAAATTATGTGTTTTAATTTTTGTTCAGTTCAGAAATCCCTCAAAATGTGAAAGTATGACAAAACAATATAAACTTGATTGACAAAACAGTATAAACTGTTGATTAGAATGTTTTAAGTTACGTGGAACTTAAAATAATGGAAATCTAGCTCTATAATTTTTGGGAAGTAGTAGAAATGATGCTTTAAGATGCTAGAAATCTGATTGAAACATTTGTGGATATCGTTAAAAATAACCAATGCAAGGGCCAGGGATTTAGCTCAGTGATTCTGGCACCTGCCCCTCAAGCGCAAGGTCCCAAGTTCGATCCCCGGTACCAAAAAAAAAAAAAATAACCAGTGCATGCTATTATTTTCATATGTGCAAATTGCCCAAAGTGAGGAAGTCTGTCAAAAATAAAGCTCTTCCTTTTGGATCCTTAACCACAGTTTATATCATTGATTGACTAACTGTAGTTTGGTGATATTCAATAACATGGAGGGAAGAAGTGGAAGCCTATGACCTGATATATTTTCTTCCTTAGATCAACCTCTCCACTTCTCCTACACCTGCACAGTTAATAAGCCGTTCCCAGGCTTCCAGTTCTACCAGCGGCAGTATTACCCAACAGACTATGTTACTAGGGAGTACCTCCCCTACCCTAACGGCAAGCCAAGCTCAAATGTATCTCCGAGCTCAAATGGTAAGATAAGAGGTACCAAAGTTTTTCAGTGTCTAAGGATGTAAAAAATCAAAATGTTTCTTGTTTGGTGCACTGAGGCATTTTTAATACTTAAGAAATGTTTAGTAGTTTTTGTGTGTGTATGCTCAGCTCTTGTACATTTATGAATGTCATGAAAAATTCTACATTGAATCAGTAGGCCTTTTTGGTAAATAGTAATTATCAACCTTTGGAAACTAATAGATTCTATAACATAAAAGGATTATTTTTTAATATTGTTTTATCAATTTCAGAGCCTTTTTTCAAGTCAGGTAGGTTGATGCCTGCCTATAATCCCAGCTACTTAGGAGCTTGAGTCAGGAAGATTGCAAGTTCAAGGCCAACTTGGGCAAGACCTTCTCTCAAAATAAAAATAATAAAAGGAAGCTGGAGATATAGCTCAGTGGTAGAGCACTTGGCTAGCATGGTCAAGGGCTGGGTACATTTCCCAGTACTGCCAAGGCAGTCATCCCCCAAAAAACTTTTCCTCCCTACACTTTAACATCTCTGAAGTTGAGGTGTACAATTGATTTATGTTACAATAACAGTAGCACTTACAGTTCAACATAAAATTATTGTATACTTTTGACATGTTAGATTTGACAAAATAGTGAGAAATGTTAAAAACTTAGTTATTAACTATTAGAATTTATATCCTGTGACTGTGTCATAATATCTGGATTGGAGTTCCTGATAATTTAATGCATAATTCTTAGCTTTGGTTATTCCCACCTCACATTCTGTAAGGTTGTGTTTTTATGGACATTTTAATTTTTTAAGTACATGAATGTTGATTTGGTTATTTAACCTAAGTAGGTTTGTCCTCTAGTACTTTTGAAGCTGAGAGAAACATTGTAATATATTGTGCAGTGTATTTACCTTTGTATTGAAGATTACTGAAGAGACGTTTTGGTGTTTCTTTCCATGTTTTTCACTGAAATTTTATTTGTGCCCCAAAATAGTGACTGTGGTTTTCTATTTTTAGCTCTTTATTTTTAAGAATACTGAGACAGTAGTTTTTGAGCTGGGAAAGCTTTAAGTATAATAGCTTATTTGGGACAAAATTTGGCCTGAGCATTTCATATTTATTACCAAAATGTATTTTCTTCTGTAATGATTGATTTATTTTTCTACTCATTAGAATCATGAGATGTTTCAGAACTGTTTATGATTTTTTTGAGTTCTCTCTTACCAGAAATTTCTTTGTCATGTAAAATGTTTTTTGCTTAGGATACAGTTCTAAACTACGTTGTCTTTCTGTCACAAATTTCAGTCTCTCTTGCTTGCTATACATTGTGTGTGGGACATGTTCTTTTGTCTTAGGGTATTTTTTTTTTTTTCGGTTTTCTGTCTGTACAGCTGATTTTCACACCCGCTACCACTGTGGCTGCTGTACAGTCTGACATTCCTGTTGTCTCGTCGTCATCGTCATCTTCCTGTCAGTCTGCAGCTACTCAGGTGAGCTTGTCTAGCTTCATAATGTGGTACTTGAGGTCTGGGTCTTCAGGTTAAAGATAAGTGTTGCATTTATATTTCAGTGACTCATGGCCCCAGAGTTCTTTTTCATGCATTTCAGAGTAAAATTTTGTAAAACACAATGAAAACTTCAAGAAAATATTTTTGCTTTATAGAGTTATAATACAGTTAAACAGATATTTAGGTTGACATCCACATAAAGACATGTAAACAAATGTTAAGGTTGATGAAGGTTTTGCTAATGACATTGTATTTTTAGTTTTATTTTAGAGCAGATTTCTCTTACCATGTGAGATGTGTTCTTTTTGAATTGCTTTGCAAGCAGTTGGTAATAAATAAGTCAGGGTGGATGGTGGATTTTAAGTTTAAAATGAATTAAATTGGGCAAAAAATATTTTTTTGAAAGAGAGCTTCATTTTGACTCACAAAATTGAGCAAATTTTAAATTAAAAAGTTAAGTATAGTAGATTTTTATTTGGTATATGGACAAAATAAACCTGAACTTTCTCCTCATACCACTCATAAATATAAATTAGAAGTAAAATGTAAAACAAAACTATTAAACTTCTAGAAGAAAACAGGAATATATCTTTGCAACTCTAGGGTAGCCAAGGCTTTCTTAGGACACAAAACAGCATTACCCATAAGAGAAAATAATGGTACTTTGGATTTTATCAAAATTAAAAACTGTTCTTTAAAAGATATTATTACAAATTGAACAAGCAGGCTACAGGCTAAGGAAAAATACTCTGAGAAGACACTTATACCCAGAATATATAAATTGTGATTATAATACTTCATATAATAATATCATAAGCAATCCATTTAAAAATGGGGAAAAAATTTGAAGAGAGACTAGACAAATGACAATATACAAAAGGCCAGTAAGCACCTGAAAGAATGCTCAACAAACACCATAAGTCATTACAGAAATGCAAACCAATGAGCTGGGACATGGTGGCACATGCCTGTAATCCCAGCACTCAGGAGGCTGAGGCAGGAAGATTGCATGAGTTCGAGGACAGCCTGAATTACAGAGTGAGACCCTTTCTCAAAAAAACAAAGAAATGCAAATCAGAACTACAATGAGATCACCATACACTAGAATGGCTGAATTGAAGAAGACTGATAATAGCACATTTGTAAGAATGGTGGAGCATTGGTGGTGAGAGTATAAAATAGTACAACTGGAAGTCTTATAATTCCTTATATAATTAAATATACACTTACTATGTGACCTACCAACTTTACTGCTGAGTATTTACCCTGAAGGATATCAAAATACACATATACATGGCCAGGGATTTAGCTCAGTGGCACCATGCCTGCCTCGCAAGCACAAGGTCCTGAGTTCGATCCCTGGTACAAAAAAAATACACATCAGTGTAAAGCCATGTAGACAAATGTTCGTAGCAACTCAGTTCAGAATAGCTCCGTTGTTATGGCTTGTGTTTAGATGGTCCCCCAAAGCCTCATTCGGTCATAGGTGGGGCTTTTTCAGAGGTGGTCGGATGTAGAGTGTGTGATTGATATTCATGGTGCAATGCTAGGATTAAGGGTGTGAGTGCTACCTGCCGTAAGGGCAGGTATCCTGGATACAATATAAGAGACAGAAAGAGGCTTGCTTTTAGTTATTTGTAGTTTGTCTCTTGCTGCTTGCTGCTTGCTGCCTTCTGCCTGCCATGAACTGTTCTCCTCTGAGGCACCTATCAGCCATAGCACCCTGTTGTGAAGCTAGCCAGTTATGGACTGAAACCTCTACAAACTGAGCCAACATAAACTGTTTCTTCCTTTAACTTTGAGTGTCAAAGTTTGTCTCAGCAATAAGAAAAGTAAGACACACACACTGGAAACAACGAAATGTCCTTTAAATGCTGAATGGATAAACAAATTGTGTATTCAGGAGTAAAAAGAGCACACTAAAGAACATCTCAGAAACATGTTTAGCAAAGAGACTAGACAAATAGAGTATATCTTCTGTCATGCCATTTATGTGAGATTCTAGAACAGGCAAAACTATCCTTGGTGAAAAAATCAGATTACTGTGTAGGTATCTGAGGCCAAAGAGGAAAATTGGGAAGGGGCATGAGTAAACTTTTAGGGTAATGGAAATGTTTTACATCTTTATTGGGAAGGTTATGTGGTATATACATAATATCAAAACTCATGGAATTAGTTTGTTCATTTATTGTATGTTGCATACCTTAATAAATTTGATAGAAATGATTTTGATTGAATAAATTTTAAAACAAATAGACTATTACTCTGTGGTATAATTTTGTTATTTTTCCATAGTAAATGTTTCAGACTGCATCTAGAAATTGATATATTTATTAGGTCATCTTTGACCTTATTTTTCATTTAATATCTCAATCATTTGGTGAAACAATAAGAATTTAGTAATAATGTTGTATGGTATTTTTCATAGAACATCTCGTATTTAGTCATAAATGCTAATTTTCATGAATTAGTGTATAAGACACTGATCATTTAAATTTAGATTTCTCTTAACTTCCTCTGTAACCCTTCCATAATTCCTTGACAGATAGTTAGCACCCACTAAATGTTAACTTTTTATTATTAGCCTACTTAACCCTCAGTTTTTTCACCATAAACTGGAATAGCTCAAAGTTGTTATAAGGAATAAATGAGACAATAATCAAAAAGCACTTAGCATAGTTCCTGCTATATAATAAGATAGCACATGCTACTAATTACTATTTTTGTTCTTCATTGTCTGAAGAGTCACCAGTTTGATTCATGGCTTTTGAGTCGCTGTAGTGAAGAGAGAAACACAACCATTTAAAGGATTTACAGTTTCCAAGGCAAAATAAATGAGTTGCTTAGGAAAGTAAACCATTTCTAACATCTTCTCTAAAGCATGGTTTGTTTATAAGTTTTCATGAAGAAAACATCTTTAAGGTGATATAGGCAAAAAAGTTTATAAAACTGGTCTTTAGGATCTTCTTTGGTGTGGTTTATGTATGTGGTTCTATGATGATCTCAGTTTAAGGATGGACTTCCAAGGAACTAGAGGAATGGATTGACCTTTGGGAATCTGTTAATGTTCTCGTTTCTAAGACACAGTACTGAACACTCACAACCTAAATGAGGAGAGGTTTAATTTGCTCACGGTTTCAATCCCTGATGGGCTGGCTCCAGAGAGAGACATCATAGCAGAAGAGCATAGTGCAGCAACACTGCTTAGTTTATGGTGGCTTGGGCCAGGGGAAGAATGCCATGGTCAAAAGGGTGAAGGATCAAAGAACACCAAGGCAGTGCCTCCAAGACCCACCCAGACACACATAGAACTGTGGCCCATCAATGCCTTGGGTGGATCCCAAAGCCAAAGAAGTTGATAGTCTACCCTAACTGCTACAGAATCTCCCTACCAGTGTTTTTCTTTGCTGTGGTTTTGAAGTGGCAGTGAATGAGGCTGACAAGTGATAGGTGATGCTAATACCTTGTAACTCTAGGGGTAACTTCAAGTTTGGGACTATTAGTTTTGAAAAATTTCTGCTCTAATTTGTTGATTTTTAAAACTATGTTTGCAATTTTAAAAATTTATTTGTAATTGAAAAACACTAAATTTGAAGTTTTATTTAAATAGTCTTTAAACTACAGAAGTCAGTATAACAGTTAATTATTTCTCAGGACTAAAAAGTTTTTATAGCATATTGTAAAACAGTTCAAAAGAAATTGGAATATCTTATCCTTATTTTACTATTTTAAATACTTCATCCTTTCTCCCTTTTATGTGAAAAGGAGGGAAAAAGATTTCCAGAAAGATACCCTATAAAAAGTATGTTTATAGAAGAGTAAGAAATCATACATGTCTAGGGTAACTAGGGAATGCTATTAGATTGAGGAAAAATGGGCCAGGGGTTTAGCTCAGTGGTTCCGTCGCCTGCCTCGAAAGTGCAAGGTCCCGGGTTCGATCCCCGGTACCAAAAATAAATAGATTGAGGAAAAATCAGCCTTTTGGATTTAAAAGCTAGAAACTGAGCTCTACAGTCAGCACTGTTACATTGACTCATAGTTTCTTCATCCGCAGAAAAACGATGCTATGATAATTTCTATAGTACTTGTTTGATTCATGTTAAATAACCAATGTGAGAGTACTTGGGTAGTGGGGACTCAACTTTAAAATATAAACTGTGAAATTAGCAAAAGTACCTCATGCAAAATGTAGATTTGTTCAAAAGTAAGAAAGTTTCTGGCTGGGGATTTAGCTCAGTGGTTTCGCCGCCTGCTTCGCAAGCACAAGGACCCGAGTTCAATCCCTGGTACCGAAAAAAAAAAAAAAAGTAAGAAAGTTTCTATAATTTGATCATAGGAAAGGATTAGGTGAAATGAAAGTTGGGCATAAGAGTACCATAGTGTTCTTTACTTTAGAAAAGATGGATTTTGTTTCCTCAAATGTGAGGCTGTGCCAAGGAAATTGAATATGCGATCCCTTACCAGGTAAATTAACTTTGTAATATACTTTGGCAGCACAGTTTACAGAGTTGGGATTTATTTAAACAGTGTCAGAATTTAAGCTAAGATGACCACAGACATAGCTGTATTCTAAAATTTAGATATTCATATAAATAATATACATCACATACACATGCACACATATTTTTCAGAATCTCAGAAAACAGGAAAATTAGAAATTCATAGCATTATTCTGTAGAAATGGATATGGTTTGGGTTTTAGGGTTCGTTGTATCAAATCTTTACTATGAATTTGCTTCTAAATATTTGAAGCCATGCTTTTAAGTTTTTTCAGATTGTTTACCTTTTGGTTATTATGTAGTCTGAAGATCGCTTGTGGCAAATGTTAAATTCTGTATTGATCTCTTGCTTCTTGGGAGATTTTAATGTGCCTCCATTCAGATAATTGTTAAAGTTTTTTTTTTTATTTATGTGAATAGATTTTAATGTTAGCCAAAGAAACCATGAATAGAATTAAGTACCTACTAAAAACCCATATAATATATATTTCAAAATCAGATAATAGGCGAATACTGCAGACTTGTGAAGTTTCTAATAATGTTTGTAGGACTGAATGTTGGGGCTTACAGAAATAATATGAAAGGTGAGAGCCTGCTAACCAGAATCTCAGCCTTTTATAAGCACATACATTTGTAATTCTAAAGCAAGCTAGACATTGTGCTGTAGGCCAATATGACCCAAATTCTATGGAAAAAAATCCTTCTGGGAGTAGGGAACTCTTTCCTAACCAAGGACTTTGGGAATGTTTCCTGGGAGGATGAGTGGTATTTTATTAGAGCTGAAAGAATGGATTAGACTTTTGGAGATAGCTTTGAGGAATAATGGCATTTAGTTAAGAGGAGCTTGAGCAGGGGCTCCAAATGAAGGAAGTCCAAGATATGTTTGGAGAAGTATGAAACAGTTTTGGCAAGACTGAGAATTGCAGGGCTGGAGGAATAGAATTTGGAGTACAAAGTGATTTTGGGTAAGGTTATGTAGGGTATGTAGGGCTTTGATTAGCAATCTGAGAAATGTCTTTTAATACATTTTATTTTGTATTAAACTTTTTTTTTTTTGGTACGGGGCTCAAACTCAGGACCTTGCGTTTGCGAGGCAGGTGCTGGAACCACTGAGCTAAATCCCCGGCCCTGAATTAAACTTTAATAGTCTTACTGGTCATTTATGTTTATACTAATGCAAAATATTTGAGAAAAATCACAGAAGATGCTCCATATGGTACCACTTAGAAAATTCTTAGAATAGAAATAATTAAAACTTTGATTTGCCTGACATGAACATTTATTTACGAAGTACCTGGTAGTGACTAAACATTATTCATTTGGCATTTACTTGGACAGAGAAAGTACAGCATTTGAGCATCAGTTAATGATGTAGCTATTAAGACAGAGTATACATAAACTGAAGAACATTTGTAAAGCAGCAATATATCATTTACTTTGTTACTTTGGGATTTCTTTCACTTCAGTTTCCTCCCCAGGAGGGCCTGTGTTAGCTCCACATGTATTTGGTACATTTATTCCAGATAAACAAGAAGTTAGGCGGCTTTTGGTGAAGCATTATTGGCCTTGCTGTTTAGAAACGTTTTAAATCTCAGATGAAAGTAATTGGGATAATCCTTGCCCCATTCACTTCCAGAGGATTGACAGTAGTCCCAGGTAGAACATCACACAGACCCATTTTAAGACCATGCATATTTTTTCAGTTAATGAGAACTAGTTCTCAAAGTCAATGAGTGTTTAGTGACAAGATTTAATTAAATTTTAGAAGTATTACAGTGGGACAAGTGATTTGATGAGTTAATTTTCTTTCTTACAAGATTAGTGTTCCCTTGCAATCTCTATAGGTAAAGCTAGTCACTTTTAATTCAGTGTGTTGGTGAGTAATTTTTTTCATATTCATAATCCATTTGTGATCTCTCTCTCTCCCTCTGCACACACATACATACACTCATTCTGTTTTCATTTAGTTCTTCATGATCCATCCTTTCCTCTCCTCCCACCTTTTCTCTCCTGTCCTTACCCCATCCCTGCTTTGTCCTTGCCCCTTCTGTCTTTTTTAAAGTTCCTACCTAATATTTAAGATGGGACACTTAGAATAGTAATTCTCCCATTCTTCAGGATTAATCAGTTATTTTAAGTGCTAGGAGCTTTATGGGTGAAAAGTATAATATTATAAATATATTGTCATATTTTTATGGTAATTATAATGATTACTGTATCAACTAAAACCATCTGTTTTCATCCTTATTTTCTGTTATGTGATTCTTAGGTTCAGAATTTAACATTACGCAGCCAGAAGTTGGGTGTATTATCTAGCTCACAGAATGGTCCACCAAAAAGCACTAGTCAAACTCAGTCATTGACAATTTGTCATAACAAAACAACAGTGACCAGTTCTAAAGTCAGCCAACGAGATCCTTCTCCAGAATGTAATAAGAAAGGAGAGAGTCCAAGTCTGGAATCACGAAGCACAGCTGTCACTCGGACATCAAGTATTCACCAGTTAATAGCACCAGGTGGGCTAAATAAAACTTGTTGAAAACAGTTGTATTATTCATTTTCTTAGCAGATAGAGCAAAACAAAGGATGTCTTCTATTTGAACATGAATGACTTTTAAAAATGTGTTAAAATGTGAATTTCATAAGTTAAAAAAAGAACATCTCCCTATGTGGCATGAAAAAGGAAATTTTAAAAGCCTAGTAGCTAAAACAAATTGCAACGATAAAATAGATGGTTTTTGTTAATTGATGTTTGATTAACATGTTCATTATGTGCTCATCTCTCTTTATATTGATAAAACCTTTTAGCTTTAAAATATTATTTACCTGTAGTTTATTTAATATGCCATAATGGAACAGATTTAGAAGCTTGTTTAAAAAAAACAAGTATATTTGTTTAAAGTCATCAGTAGGAAGAATTTGACATTTTCTAAAAATAAGAATTATGCAAATACGGAAAATTATATTCCTTACTATGTTGCTTTTTCTCATTTCTGATTTCATCTAAGGAAGATGTCAGGGAATCAGCTATATTGTTTTTATTCTCATTAAGCCTTCAAGTCCATCTGTGCTTTTTCCTTCCTTCCACAGGTAACCTTGCCTTATGGTTCTTAAATGTATTGAAAATGTTGGGGCCGCCCTTACTTGTCTCTTTTGCATCTCTCAGAATTTGTCAAGATTAAGCTTTCATTACCTTCTAATAAGATAAGATCTGCTTTCTTCTTCTACGTTGCTGGGGATTGAACCCAGGACCTTGTGTTTGGTAGGCAAGCACTCTACAACTGAGCTACACAGCTACACTCCCAGCCCTTTCTTAAAAATTTTATTTTGAGAAAAGGTCTTGCTGGCCTCGAATTTGAGATTTTTCTGCCATAGCCTCCTAAATAGGTGGGAGTACAGTTGTGTGTCACCATGTCCAGCATCTGATTTCTTCTTAGTACCATTTGCTAATGTAATTGATTCCACCTTTTTTTCTTCTTTTACCTGCTCATGACTTTAATAGTTATTGCAGTATCTTTTGTGTTCTTATGCTAACTCTTTTCCTTTGCTTCTCAAGCATACTTAGGTCTTCTCTGTCCTTAATATATCAGCATATGTTTTTACACCAGTATGATGTGTGTGTGTGTGTGTGTGTGTGTGAGTGAGAGAGAGAGAGAGAGATGTATTGGACTAGGCATCTCACAATTCATTAAAAAAATCTTTCTTTGTTCCAACAACCTTGGCAGGTAAGCATCTTCTGTTTTTTTATGAATTTGTTTTACTTTTAAAGATTTGTTCCACACTACTGAAGTTTGCTTTTTTCCAACTTAAACCTATTTCTCTTTTCATGTTTTCTCTGTTAGTATTGCCAACATCGTCTGCTTCTCTGCCTCTCAGGATCTTGGCACTGATTTCTGTAGTTAGGAATTTCTCCTCACTTTGAACTTTTGTAGCATTTTATGCTCATAGTTCTTTCTTTTTTAATTATTTGTATACTCATTGATTTTAGAGGGTAGAGATGTGCAGTAAATATTTGATGGTTTAACAGGGTTTTTTCCATTTGAATTATGGAAATTATAGCAATACTTTCTCATTAGCCTTAATTAGGTATCACGTTAGTTGAACTGTTGGATCTGATTCTTAGAGAAGTACTATAGGGTTTGATTTAATATTGTAAATTAGTAAACCCATTTATAGTGTATTTAGATGGGCTTCTTTCTGGTGAACATCTGTGTCCCAGTCTTTCCTCTCTTTATGGCTTGATAACTCCAGAGTGTTCTCAGTCTTTTTTTTTTTCTCGGTACTGGGGATCAAACTCAGGACCTTGTGCTTGCGAGGCAGGCATGTTGCCATTGAGCTAAATCCCTGGCCCTTGTGTTTTCAGTCTTAAACCAGCAGCATCTGGCCAGTGTTGACCGTCAGGGTGGAGCAGCAGTGACCCACTGTAGTTGGAATGGCTGTTTTGGTGACAGTATGTAGTGATTCTTGTAGTTTTTGATAGATTATAATGAAGAGAAGATTAATTTCTTTCTGATGAAAATGTATCTTCAGAGAAAGCTGGGAATTTGTTTTCAGGTTTAGTTTGAGCAAGGAGATCTACTTTTGGATTTTTCAGTTTCTCTTAACCAATACCTGGTTCCAAGTTGAAACTTATTCTTCCCTCTTTTGTTGATAGTGTGATGATATCCTCACTGTTTGCCTTCCTTTGATGGGCAAGGCAATATTTTATATAGGTTTGAAGGAGACAAGTAACCTAACCACCAGAGTCTCAAGTCAATTTCAGTTCCAAATTAAGATGTTAACTATATCACCCAAACTCAAGTTTTACATGATGTTGATTAGAAACAAAAGCAGATGGAACACAATAAACCACATAAACCTTTGCAGGTACCAGATTTATAAGTTTGTTTAAGCCTTGTAACCGCAGTTAATTAAGCAATTCATATCTTTTGGCAAGACAACATCTATATGTTGTACTTTTCAGTTTCTCTCCTTTTATTAGTGGGAAGTTAATCTGAAGCTAAGATACTTTGAGTGATTCTAGAATTGGTAACTTGTCTTTTTCCTCAACTGGAGCTGTCTCTATAGGTCATTTAAAATATTAGAAAAATCTACTTGTATTCTCATGTAGTATAGTCCAAGAATTATTATAGAGGATATGGTTATTGTGCTAAGATAACTTGGTTTTTATTTCCAATTATGCTTAAAGGTAGGGTTTCTATTTGTTAGTAATTCTATTTTTAACACATAAAATAAGGGTAAACTTAAACCAAATGAATGGCAATCATGATCCATATTAAAGGGGAAAAGTTTTTAAAGCAGTATCTATCTATCAACCAATCAATCAATTATTGGGGTGGGGATTGAATCTAGGACCTTTGCCCTGAGCTACATACCCAGCCCTATTTATTTTGAGACAGGGCCTAAGTCACTAAGTTGCCCAGGCTAGGTTTCAACTTATGATTCTCCTGCCTAAGCCTCCATAGTACTTGGATTACAGGCATGTGCCATCACACTCAGCTTGAAGCAATTTTTAGAGCTTTTCTGAAGCTAGTGTAATTGGAAAAAAATACATACAGTTTTTGTAAACATTAGTTGAATATGTAGTAAGAAGACTATGTATTAATCTGCTGTAGCTGACATAACACAATACCATACAATAGGTAGCTGGAAAGCCCAAGATTAAGGTCTGGAAATATTGAGTTTCTGGTGAGGCCTCTGTTCTTGGCTTGTGGATAGGTACTTCCTTGCTATATGTTCACATGGCCTTTCAAGTGTGCAGTGGAAGAGCTCTCTGAGAGCTCTTCTTAACAATATACGAATCAGTCATGTCAAGGCTCTATCCTTATGACCTCTTTTAACTTTAATTCCTTAGATGTACTGTCTCAAAGACAGTTACATTGGGGTTAAGGCTTCAACATAGGAAGTTTGAGGGGTGGGGCACACACTCCATACAGATCCCTAGACTCAGGGTTACAGGTTCAAGATACAGCACTGTCCCTTGATACCCAGTGATTTCAGGGAAGTCATTTAACTATTCAGTTTGTTCATCTGTAATATGTTGGATTGTATAGTACCACATGCACCTCATGGGTTTGTTGTAACTATTGAATGAAATAATATATGTTATGGTAAATAACAATTAAAAAACTATATGTATGTGTGAAAGAAATGATGCCAGTCATTAATTCTGCAAATATAAGGCTACCTTGAGATAGTAAAGTGTTTAAAATCAGAGAAATTAAGCAATATGACATGGTTCGCTAGAATATTGGGCTTTTCTTGTACAGAGGCATTGTTTCAAATATTTGGATAATTCTGTATATATTGTTGTCATATGTGCTTACAGTTTAATATAAAATATGTAAACTTAGTTTGACTTCTGATCAAAGAAAAATTTAATTTAAAAAAAGGATATATCATTGGTCTATAGAATTATCAACTAGATAACAGAATACAAAAAGATTACTAGAGCACAAAAAATTATTAGTGGATATAATATCCATTGTACTTCAATAATATGCTAAATTTAAATTATAATTTTAAAAATTGAATGAAAGTAGACTTTTTCTGTTATGATTGTGAAAAATTATTTTATGTAGAAGAAGGATAATGCCACAGGCATTTTATAAATACAAATAAAAGACGAGAAAGCACTTTGAGCCCCTTGGAAACCATTCTGTGGAATCCAAAGTTTTGTTAATTTTCCTTTTTTTTTTTGGCATGGTGTAATATAGTCTATAATATCAGTACTTTTATAAAGGGTTGGCGGTCTTAGCTTAGTCTAAGTGTTAGTCTAATTACTATGTGAGAATCATTTTGTTGGATGAAGCATCAGACTTAACTTCCTTTTTCTTTCTTTTTGTTTTTGTTGTTGTGCTGGGGATTGAACTCAGGGCTTTGCCCATGCTAAGCCTGTGCTCTATCATTGAGCTACACCCTCAAGTCCCCCATTTTTTAAAATAGTAGATAGCTATTAAACCTTCTGAACACTTTCTTGAGACACTACTTGTTAAAGATTTCCCAAAATTTAAAAGTAACCAAATGTAAAACCGTTTTTTAAAAAGTTGTTGGAATCATTTCAGTTTATCTTCTAGTGAACCCAGTTTCCATTCTTACGTAGGTAGGCATTCATCAGCATCTCCCTCTTTCTGAACATGTGTGTGGGTTTGGAGAAGAGGCATGATGGTAGAGAAAGTGCTCACAATTTGATTCTGATAATTCTTATTTGTCCCTGTTGTGAGTGGCTCCTCTGGAGAAGATCTGGTAACATTATTTATAAATTACTGTAGGTTTTTTGTGGTGGGTGAGAAGGGTTTAAAATCCTTTAATTAGGTAGCTTAGGCTTCTCATTACTTCATTGTCTGCAAAGAAAACTAGTGCTCTCCTGGATTTAGAATAGGCTCTAAAATTTCAGTGATTAGTTACAGTGATTTATTTGTGCTACCAGATGTGGATAGGATGAGATCTTTATTTAGTGTTCTAATAACATTTTAATGATTTTGAAGTTATCTTTACATATACTCTACTTGTTCAGTCATAATACTTCTCTCTCAAAGATGAAATTCAAGTGGATAAACTTTGCTAAACGTAAATGCAGCTGTTTTGGTAAAGTATAAAATTTAGGAGAAATAAACCATGCATAGAATCAGATTTGTGATAGATTATTTTAGGCAGTTTTCTTTTGGAACTTATCACAGTACAGCTTATTTTATCAAATTTTTAGTTTCCCAAGGAAAAGCTGTTTGTCATAAAATTTCATTTCACTGTTACCTAAAAGACTTATAACAAAATTCTAAAGATTATGACCTTCTGATGTGAGAACTTTCCTACTTTAGATTTATTTTAAAAATTCTAATAATATTTTTGAAATCAGTACTAATTGTCATTTTTTTCTCTCACAGCTTCATATTCTCCAATTCAACCTCATTCTCTAATAAAACATCAACAGATTCCTCTTCATTCACCACCTCCCAAGGTTTCCCATCATCAGCTGATATTACAACAGCAGCAACAGCAAATTCAGCCAATCACACTTCAGAATTCAACTCAAGATCCACCCCCATCCCAGCACTGTATACCACTCCAAAACCATGGCCTTCCTCCAGCTCCCAGCAGTGCTCAGTCACAGCATTGTTCACCGATTCAGAGCCATCCCCCTCCTTTAACGGTATCCCCTAATCAGTCACAGTCAGCCCAGCAGTCTGTAGTAGTGTCTCCTCCACCACCTCATTCACCAAGTCAGTCTCCTACTATAATAATTCATCCACAAGCACTTATTCAGCCACACCCTCTTGTGTCATCAGCTCTTCAGCCAGGGCCAAATTTGCAGCAGTCTGCTGCTAATCAGGTGCAACCCACAGCACAACTGAATCTTCCATCCCATCTTCCACTTCCAGCTTCCCCTCTTGTACACATTGGCCCAGTTCAGCAGTCTGCTTTGGTGTCCCCAGGTCAGCAGATTGTGTCTCCATCACACCAGCAGTATTCAACCCTGCAGTCCTCTCCAATCCCAATTGCAACCCCTCCACAGATGTCGACATCTCCTCCAGCTCAGATTCCACCACTACCCTTACAGTCTATGCAGTCTTTACAAGTGCAGCCTGAAATTCTATCCCAGGGCCAGGTTTTGGTGCAGAATGCTTTGGTGTCTGAAGAGGAGCTTCCAGCTGCAGAAGCTTTGGTCCAGTTGCCATTTCAGACTCTTCCTCCTCCACAGACTGTTGCGGTAAACCTACAAGTACAACCACCAGCATCTGTTGATCCACCAGTGGTAAGCCCTTGGAAGCTCTTTGACTTTTTTCTTTTTTTTTTGGTATCGGGGATTGAACTCAGGACCTTGCGCTTGCGAGGCAGGCGGCGGAACCACTGAGCTAAATCCCTGGCCCTCTTTGACTTTCTTGATGAACTGAAAGTAAAACTGTTTCTCTCACACAATGTTATATTGCTAAATATAAATGCCTATTAATTTAAAAAGCTTGGAATTTCCATATGTCAGTATGCTGGCAAACATGCTGTATGGGAAAAAATACTGTTGCTTGTTGTAGTATGGTTGCATGCTTAATAATTTGTGATGGTTATTAAAGTCCCTCGTTAATTTTATTACTATTTAAACAAATCCATCTGCTATCTTTACAGAGTTGATTTTTTTTCCCCAAGGGAATGCATTTGAACCAGTGTCACCTGCACAAAGTTTTTTCTCTTAAGGTGATTATCCTTCATAGATCCCTTCTGTTGGCTTGTATGTTCTTAAACGTATGATTTATCTAGCTAACCTTTTTGGTTGTATGCATTCTGAAGTCCTGGGCCTTGAGGGGCTTTTGTTTCAAGATGAAGGAGGTATGCATATATATGATGTAATTTTTTGGTAAAATTGTATTTGTAATTAAAACTTTATAAAAAATTTTGTTCTAGGAAAAAAAGAGTCCAACATCCCCAAATTAACTGACTTTTAAATTCTACTATGGGAAAATATATACTTAAAATATTTCTCGCTTTAAAAATTCAAAAATCTCAGTAGATTACTGTTAATACTGAGAATAAAAAAAAAGTCCTTTGGGAGGAGTAAAAGTTTTGAATAATTGAAATTGTAGTGAAATTTATCAGAATAAACCTCCAAAAATGGTTACATGTTGTCTAGAAAGTTATCTTTTTAAAAAAACAGCCTAAAGGACTTCATAATTTATAAAATAATTTGTAATAAAACTAAAATAAGGTCTCTAAATGTTCAGTCAGAATAATCAAATTTATAATTTGTAATAGAAGAAAATAGTCCTAGAAGATTTGTATTACCTAAAAGGAAATAACCATTAACTCAAAAAGGAAAGGAGTTTCAAAGTTTCTTCATTAATGGGAAGCCTTTTGGATCTCAAGTGCAAATTTATAGGTGTTTTATTCTTGTCATTCTGAGTGATCTTAAATAGGCATAAAGAAATTGAATTCTACTTCCTATTCCCTTTTAAAAATAAGAATTTGACAAAAACAAGTGTTAGAATAAATTTGTCATTTAATTATGATATCCAAATTTTCTTTTAATGGATTTTTGAAGAGTTTGCAGTAGGTATGTAACAATTTGGGTTTACAAAATACCCTGAACCTTCAGAGAAACCAAATTAAATTTATTTTCTCATTATTTAGTTGAGTGATTTGTTGTATTTTTTTTCCCCGTACCGGGGATCAAACTCGGGACCTTGCGCTTGTGAGGCAGGCAGCGGAACCACTGAGCTAAATCCCCGGCCCAGTTATTTGGTTTTTAACAAATAAAAATAAAACTTTTCTAATACTTCTTATATTTTTCTAATGTTTTTGTTAGAGGAAACATTTGGATAGAAACACCAAAAATTCAATACTTTAAAAACTACATTAAGCTGGGCATGGTGGTGTACACTTGTAATCCCAGCAGTTGGAAGGCTGAGGCAGGAGGATTGCCTTGAATTCAAGGTCAGCCTGGGCTACATAATGAGTTCAAGAACCAGTCTGAACTGCATAGTGACCATATCTCAAAAAACCCAGAAGAAAAAAGAAAAAAAAAAACCTAAGAGCTGAAAATACTTAAGGTTTTATTTTATGCTTCTTGCCCTTTTTTATAGATTACAAAGTTTCTTTTTCTTACCTCATTTCTGGAGGACTTTTTAACTTTCTCTTCTATTGTCAATATGGTTATTATGTTTGCTGTAGATGTTCATGTTACCTTTTCTTTTATATTTCTTTGAGCAACATCATTCTGTTTATTAAATTTTGCTATATTTTCTTTTTATTATCTTTGACTAAATGTAATATTTTTCCATCAAAACATATTTCTTGGCAAATTACACTTTCTTGGTTGTTTCTGATAAAGATAGAGAGAAATTTATTTAAGAGATGTGAAACTTTGAAAGATAAGGATGAATTATCAAAGTAAAATCAATGTTTTTTTAAAGATCTATTAACTTTATAAAAATTGACATTTGAGTATAAATAAGATGTTGAGGGTAGATAATTTAGAACTAATAAACAAATGTTCCTCAGTTTATTTAGGAAAGGGAGACAAATGGGAATAATGGACTTAATTGAGGTAAGTCTGGCAGTCTTTGTTATTTTTAGAATAGTTACAGTTAAGAGCTAAACCAAAATTATGATGTGCAGTTTCCTAATGATCCAATGAACAAAACCTCCACATCTTTGCTTGTTTCCAGTATTTTAGTTCTTGCACTTAGATTTCTTTGTGATTGTGCCAGATGTTTGTGACAGATTCGTTTTTGCCTACTTCTATTAACTTATTTTGCTTTTACATGGGAAATCTGGAAAAAGTATATATGATTAGCCTTAACTATAAAGAATGAAAAGTATTTTACAGTATTCTTTTTTTTTTTAAAGGAATCATACTGTTTTTAAGATTTATCACAAAGCTAAAATAATCAAGACAATGTGGTATTAACAAAGGGAGAGAGACAAAGATCAACAAAACACTAAAAAGATTACAAAAGTAGACACAATTCAATGAAGCAAGAATAGTCATTTTATCAAATAGTGTTGGAGCAATTGGATATCCACAGTACATAAAAGAAAACAATTGGATATCCACGGTACATAAAAGAAAACAAATGAAACTCAACTTAAACTTCACCCTTCATAACCAGAACTAAAATTGTATCACAGATAAGTATAAAATGTACAGCTATAAAACTACAGCATTCTTTAATGGATTACTGTATTTTTTAAAATACTGTTTGTGTTATGGGTCTTTTCATCCTTTAAAAACAAGTTCATTGAGGCCAGGGATTTAGCTCAGTGGTGCGCATCTGCCTCACAAGCGCAAGGTCCTGAGTTCAGTCCCTGGTACCAAAAAACCCCCCCCAAAACCAAAAAACAATTTCATCATTTAAAAAAATTAGTTCTATGCATAATCAAGCTTTAATTCCTTAAAAGATAGTGTATTAGATGTTTGAATAACATGTGATAGGAGCTAAGATTAAAGAAAAGATAATGTTCTTCAGAATAAAAATATCTACTAAAGGAAATACTATGTAGATTAAATCAAACTAGTTAATAAAACCCTGAATTAATTCCCCCTTTACTCAGGCAACTTAATCACTACACCAGCAGATACCTTTGAGTACTAGAAAAAAAACTTTCGTTAACATCCAGATATTTTTTGGGTTATTTTCTCTATATTGGGCATTATCATCTTTTTAAAGTTACTATTATGAACAGATACTAGCACCTATAACTGTTACCTTGTTCAGTAATGAATCACTGCTTACACTTCTGAGACCCAGAGGTGAGGTAAGGAGTCTCTTGGTTATATAGTTTTCCAGATCCATGGTTGTGATTAGATAACTTTATAAAAATGTTGTCTGTTTAGTAGCTGATTCAGATCACAGTTTGGGCTATCATATTTGACAAAATTATCAGTCACACAGTTTTTATGTTTTAAAAAAAGAAAAAGTTTTATTCTTTAGTAGAGGCTTGGAAGGACTGTATTTCTATTTTTAAATTTTGTGGCATTGGGGATTGAACCTGGGACTTTCACATTGAGCTTCATTCTCAGCCATTTAAAAATTTTTTGTTGTTGTTGTTACCGGGGATCCAACTTGGGACCTTGTGCTTGCAAGGCAGGCAGCGGCACCACTGAGCTAAATCCCTGGCCCCATTTTTAAATTTTTTGAGACAGGGTCTCACTAAGTCATTAAGTTGCCTAAGCCAGGCTTGAACTTGGGAATCTCCTGCTTCAGCCTTCCACAGTACTGGGATTATAGACATGTATGTCCATGGCCCAGCAAGGCTTTTTTTTAAAGCTCTGTAGTTTGTTATTATGTATACCTTTATAGATGACATTTCATAGTCTTATAACACATGGTAGTTGTTGGATTCAGAAATCTTATTTCATATTTAATTTTATATACTTCAAATTATCAAACTTTTAAAATATAATTAAATATAACATTAGATGTCACTTAAAGTTATTTTGTGAATGTTAAGAAATTTTTTTTGCTTTATTAACATTTACTGGAACATTTATCAGTTTAGTTAAATAATTTTTAAAAACTTATAATCCTTGTAAATTTAAGCTTTAAGAAGGAAAATAGACTGTTTTGTGCTTCTTTCAGAAATCTGTAATCTTTCATAAATAATGGTTAAGTGACCAGTTAAAATACCTATATCAATCTCTAAAAATGCACTTTGTAAACTAAGCCTTAAGTGTAATAAAACATTGAAATCAGTAATTTCTAGTTATACAGCTCCTTTTTAGAGTTTTTTTTATTCTATATTCCCTTTTAAGTATAATCTTTACAACTGGATAACAAATAAAAAATATATGCATATGGGTTAGGGAGTATGTGTGTATATTTGTGTATAAAGATAGATATTTTCTATTGACTTAATATTAGCATGTAAAATTCATTAGATTCTTTAGTAGAACAGAAAACAAAATTGTACATCGTTTTTATAGATATTTGTCATAGTTTAATTTTTATATAAATAATAATAGGGCCAGGAATGTAGCTCAACGGCACAGTGCCTGCCTGGCAAGTGCGAGGCCCTGAGTTCGATTCCTGGTACCCAAAATGATGATGATGATGATGATGATGATGATGATAGCAGCCTGAGATATTGTCCTCTTGGCATTATATTTTCTAACAGTATCACATGTTAGTTTAGAAATTTACTTAAGTGTGCTTGTGAAAATTACTAGTATCTTTTGATTTATGACAAGTAGAAATTAACAGAAACTGTGGTATAATTCTTGAAATATTTGATTATGTAAAAGCAAAACCTTTTAAAATTCAAAATTAAAAATATTTTCACACTTGACTGTCATCATTTTGGAAACTCTAGTTATTTTTGGCTTAGATAACTGATCCACAGCTTGCTTTCAGTGAAATATTAGTTATAATGAAAAACTTCATTTGAGTGATTTTAAAGTTTTCCTTTCTACTTGTCAGATAGTCATTTTACCTCATTTTTAAATTTAATATACTTAGGATTTAACTTTAAAAAATTAAGAATGCCTTATTAAATGTATGTTTGGAAACATTTTAAGGCAATGTGATTTGTCATTGCAGGTTTATCAAGTAGAAGATGTGTGTGAGGAAGAAATGCCAGAGGAGTCTGATGAATGTGTCCGGATGGATAGAACTCCGCCACCTCCCACTTTGTCTCCAGCAGCTATAACTGTGGGGAGAGGAGAGGATTTGACTTCTGAACATCCTTTGTTAGGTAAGAAAATACCAAAATATAAGGTAATTTTTCTGTTTGATGTTAGTAATGAGAAATATTTTTTCATTAGATGTGGTATTAACCTAATTTGTTACTGTAATAAATTACAGCAAAATGTAGATTAGAACGCAACATTTTTTTTTTTTTTTGGTACTGGGGATCAAACTCGGGCCTTTGTGCTTATTTTTTATTTTTTATGAAGAATAGTCAGTTTATTATGGTAAATAAGAATTATTTGCCTTTGTTGAAAATTATTTAAAGTCTCAAAGCTTAGTAGTTTATATTGTTCAATATTACCCAAATGAAAAACATGGTATTTCATGGCTTCTTGTTTTCAGTGGTTTGTACAGATACATTTTATATGCCTATTCACATTCATTCATTGAACTATTTCTAGCTTAAAAATTAGAATAAATCAAGATTTTATCAAAAGATTTAAATTATATTTTCTAAGATTCACATCATATTGATACTCCTCACAATTTCTTGTGGTCCAGAATAATTGATTTTAAAAGTTTAATAGTTATAGTACTTAAAGCTGAGTGTGGTGGTACATGCCTATAATTCCAGCATGCAAGAGGCTGAGGCAGGAGGATCACTGGGAGTTCAAGGCCAGCCTAGAGTACATAGTGAGTTCAAGGCCAGCCTTAACTAGCAAGTCCTTGTCTTTAAAAAAAATTCCAAAACAATTACAGTTACAGTACTTAAATTCAGCCTAATTCTTGCAAGAGACGTGGATTAAAACATGTCTTGCACTTAAACATTCAAGTTCATATTCACTAATTCAGTGTTTCTTATGAATTTTAAGTAGATCCCCTATGTACTCCTTACACTGTTAAAGTTACTATGAGCCCTGGGTGTTTTACTAAAACATTAGTTTAACTGGCAGCCCTGTCTAGTTCCTAAAAATAGGTTTAATGGTTTTTAAAAAAATGTCCAAATGTTTTATTTATATCAAGTATTAGCAAACTACAGTTTACTGTTCAAATTTTTTTTTCTGTTGCCTATTGTATGGCTCAAGTAAGGATGGTTTCAAAATATTCGAATAGTTGTAAAACATCAGAAGAATAGTCATTCATATTGTGAAAATTATGTGAAATTCATACTTTATTATCCATAAATAAAGTGTATGAAACATAGCCATGCTCAATTTTTCAGTTATTCTCCCTGGCTGCTTTTGTGCCTATATCTACACAGTTGAGTAACTGTAGGTCCTTTACTGAAAATTTGTTCACCTTAATCTAAGTCATACCAATATTGCTTCAGGCTTTGTTGTAAATATTGTTTGATTGAAGATCTTATGGCTCTGATGATTATTTTGATTAAGAAAAAATCTCTCTGAAAACAAATTGTAATGGGACACTGACTGGTACCAAAGCAGCTCTTACCCGCTGCTCTCTTTAGCATGCCACATCCTCTCCCTTCCGTTCTCTCATGCTCTTATTTCCTTACTATTCTGCAGTGCATAGAAGGAGAAAATCAGTTTTCTTCTTTGTCCTCTCTTGGTAATACAAAACATTTAATCAATATAAGTATATGAAATAAGACTATTACTGCCTTTGTTTAATTCAAAATAATACCTGAAAAAATAGATTTAAGAAAGTTTAACCTATACTATCAAATCTTTGTGATTTCTTTACACTGAAAATGGATTTATCTTGCTGCAGATTTCTTGGAGTTTTGATTTGAAAGCAGAAATACAAGTTTAATTGAATCTTAAACTTGGATTATGAGGATGATTTAATTCAAAATAAGCCTTGCTAAAAAAAAGCTTCATTAATGGTACTAATGTACTGATAACAAATTTAAACATTTTTAAAATGTTGGAACACAAGAATATCTTTTTATATTTTTTCCTCAGGAATAGTGTGACTTCCTGTCAAACCACATCCCTGTGGTTAAGTTGTTAACTACAGTGTAGACATTTTAGTCTTCCTATAATTTACTTTATACTTATCACCCTTCTGTAACATGAGGAAGAAAAATACAGGTTGATTTTTAGAACTCCTCTCAAATGGTGAAATAAACTAATTTGCAAATAGATTTGCTTCTATCCAGGATTCAGCTTTTATAAATCTGCAAAAGTTCTTTGAAAGTAAAGCCATCCATGTGAAAAAGTAGAAAAAGTTCATGGCTCTTGTGCAAGAAATGAGGCCAAAGAGTTATTTGATTTTGTAACACTCTAGTTTTCTCTCATGTTTTTCAAATTTAGAGTGTAATAGTTGTGTTTCTGATGTTTCTTGTGTTTTTTATTTTAATAGTTTGTTGCAAACTGGCAAATAATAGGGATTTGCTCTTCAAAGTCTATAACTGACAGCTCTATTATTAACAAAACTTGGGGCTTACAAGATTTGTACATATGATCTGAAAATTAATTAGAATATATACCAGGCAGTATTTTCTGAACAAACCATATTACACTTAATTATACTTAATGTAGTGTCATCATCCATTTTGTGCTGCTATAACAGAATACCTCAGACTTGGTAATTTATAATGAACAGAAATGTATTTAACTTTTGGTTGTGGAGTCTGATAATTCTAGGATCTAAGGATCACATCTTGGGTAAGAGTATCTGCACAAGGTCGGGGGGTGTCAAACTCGCTTTTATAACAGATACACTCTAGTGCTAATGAACCCACTTCTGAGATACAACATTAACCCCTCTTCACCTTTTTTTTTTGGTACTGGGGATCGAACTCAGGACTTGTGCTTGTAAGGCAGTCAGTGGAACCACTGAGCTAAATCCCCTGCCCCCTCTTCACCTTTTAAAGGTCCCACCTCTCAACAGTGTTGCATTAGGATTAAATTTCCAACACATAAATTATAGGATACACAATCAAACCATAGTATGCAGCTTTAGAGTTCTAAAAAAGAACATATCTATAAGTTTTTACGGGACATTACAATTTTGTTTCAAGCTCCCCATTAATTTATTTTGTCTTCATAAAAGTTCCACTTCAGAATTTTTTATCTTTAATACTTTATCTCATAGATTTGATATACAAGATAGTTTTGTGGAGTGTGTCTGTTTGATGAGACTTGTGTACAATTTTGTATTTGTTCCTAAAATTAACAAATTAGTATTTTCTATTTTTTGAAAAAGCTTCTAATAGATTGTATGGCCTTAAATTTATGTTTTCCAACATAGTTTATATTAGTGTATTTGGTAAAACTAGGTTAATTTGTGGCTATTATAATTCTCTTAAAAGCTACATAATAACATTAATCACATTGGTGTTACTAATGGTGAAATGTTAAGTGTTTCCATTCCTTTCTTAAAATTATCTTTTTTCTTTTTCTTTGCTGGGGATCTTTTTGTCATGTACTAGGCAAGTGCTCAAGTGCTGTACCACTGTGCTACATCCCCATTCTGCATTTCCGTTCCTGAGAATATATGCAGATGATTACTATGCCATCTTATTTTAATTTTTTTGTGGTGCTGAAGTTCAAACCTATGGCCTCATTTATGGTGGACAAGTGATCTACCGTTGAGTTCAGCCCCTACTATGCTGTTTTATTAGCTGAGTTTTCTCTTTAAGGAGCCTCTTTCTTTCTTTTTTATTTTTGGTACCAGGTATTGAACTCAGGACCTTGTGCTTGCTAGGCAGGCGGCGGATCCACTGAGCTAAATCCCTGGCCCGAGTTTTCTCTTTAGAGATTCCCCTGCTTTCGTGTTTACCTTTTGAGCATCTTTGGTAGGTGTTGTCAGTCCTTTTCACAGTCAGAGAGGTGAGGAGTTAACACAATTTAAAAGCATGATCTCTACAACCAAACTTCGTGGATCTATATCCCATTTCTACTGTTTATTTGCAGTGTGCCATTAAAGCAAGTAATTTAATCTCTCTGTGTCTTGGGTTTTCTCATCTGTAAGACGGTGATGATAACAGTATCTGTCCATAGGCTAGTTTCAAAGATTAAATGAGTTACCACATGTAAGGCATTGAACATGATGTAAGAAAGCTCAGTATCATTATTAGGTTTGCACACATACCCTTTTGTTTTCCTCAGCCATCTGTCTGTACTTGCTGATATTCTTAGAGCTCTTTACTTTAGAACAAGGAATAAAGGGTTGGTGCTACCAAATAGGCAGGTGGCATCTCCATTGTAGGCTGCCAGATCTGTCTTATTGTGGCCCTCACAATTTGAAGGGGAAGAATCAGTGGTCTAGCCCAACATGTTCCACTTGACTGGTGCTGCAGTATTTTCCCAAATCAATGTGTACAGTGTCACTGAAGACTTAAAAAAAATACGAAGAAAATTTGTGTGAGATCTTGGAGGAATCTTACTGCTTAAATCATTCAAGTTTCTATCCTGTGGATTTATGGTTCTTTTTCATTTTCAAGGTATTTGTCTGCCTACTCAGATCATTTGGTATATATAAACAGGAACATGGGAAATTGACTATCTTGATAGCTCAAAAAACAAAGACCCCAGCTGAACATTTTTGTAGTTATTCTTGGGTTGGTATTCTGAAATATTTTCACATCTTACGGAGTAGAGTTTTTAAAACAATATTTGAATAACTTTGAGCAAGTTACCCTCTTCTGTAAAATGGGGATAATAGTAATTTCTATCTTATGGTTATTGTGCAGATTAAATGAGATAATGAAGTTCTTAGGACACTTTTTGGGTTTTTTTTGAGACAGCGTCTCACTGTGTAGTTCAGACTGTCCTGGAACTCACTGTGGAGCTCAGGCTGGCCTCAAACTCACTGCAGTCTTCCTGCTCCAGCCTCTGGAGTGCTGGGACTACAGGCATGCGCTACCACACCTGGCCTCTTAGGACAGTTTTTAAAAATACTAGATATTAAGTATTGTGCAGGCAGAATGCTAAAGATCAAAAAAGTAACTTTTGGTTTTTTTTCCAGAGCAAGTGGAATTACCTGCTGTGGCATCAGTCAGCGCTTCAGTAATTAAATCTCCATCAGATCCCTCACATGTTTCCGTTCCTGCCCCTCCACTTTTACTTCCAGCTGCTACCACAAGGAGTACTAGTACATCTATGCCTGGTAGCACTCCCAGCATTGAAAACAAGCCTCCACAGGCTATTGTCAAACCACAGATCTTGACCCATGTTATTGAAGGGTTTGTGATTCAGGAGGGATTGGAGCCATTTCCTGTAAGTAGCAAGCATATTTGTGGGTTTTAAAAAATTATTCACAACTTTATTTATTCTATTTTTTTTTGGTACTGGGGATCAAACTTGGGTCCTTGCTCTTGCGAGGCAGGTGGTGGAACCACTGAGCTAAATCCCCAGCCCCACAACTTAATATTTTTAAAGTTTTATTGTTGTTCTCTAAGAAAAAACTTATAATGTTTACTCTGTATATTTGCAAATATATTTCTAGAGTCTTATGCTAGCCAGTTAGACATATAACTAGGAAAAAATGAACAAAAATTCAGAGTAGGGGGGCATTGATTTTGTATTTGTTGAGCAAATTTGTAGAAAGTAGGAAGCTTACTCCAATGAAATAAACATTTTTCTTTTTTCTTTTTAAGGGTATTGAAGTGACATTTGAAATGTACTATTTTAAAAATGGTGTTTCTCACATGTGATACTTTGTGAACTTTAACTTGAGTGCAGAAAATATTAACTTCTCAGTTCTCAAATACATCTGAAGTTACCCAGTTAATGGGTTATGATTACCAAATAGATTTTCCCATTATTCCTAAATGTCATCCTTCAAGCAGATTTTTAAAATGCTTTTATATTTTCACCTCAAAAATGAAAATTCTTTCACTACAAGTCTTAATTTGAAACTAGTCATAGTGGTAGATAATTTATATGCTAATACCTAGAGATAAACATTTTCCCTTAGGAAAAAAACCCAAGTAGACATTACAAATAATATTTATCTTGAAGGGCTTTGAATCATTAGAATATGAATCATTTAGAATTTTCAGCTTTGTGGGTGAAAATTTTGCATTTTTAGTTGGTTGCCCAATCAGTTGTTGCCTCTTTGTTCAGTTCTGTGTGTGTGTGTGTGTGTGTGTGTGTGTGTGTGTGTGTGTGTCTGTGTCTGTTGAACCTGTCTGTCCTATAATGGTGATACAGTAAATGGAGGAACAATCTTTTTTCATTTCTCAGATAAAATAGTATTATAACTAAAAGTGTTTAGATTCTGGCTGTGCTGCATAGTGACCAACTTTTTCATATTATTCAAACTTTATGATCTTTGTTTTGCTTATCTGGCAGATAGAGATGATACCTTGCTGTTAGGGTTGTGAAAATTAAATATGCATATGTTATTCCACGTAGTGCCTGCACTTAATAGTCATTGATATTATTACCTTTTATCACTGGTGACAATTAAAATTTTTATTTTTCAGATTACAAAGGTAATACTCTAAATGAAAATTTGGGAATTTATAGAACAAATAATTTCCAATAATAGTGCATGTGTGTATTCATATAATCAAGGTTATTATTATGCATATATATGTTCTCTACTTTGTTCAATCCCTAGCACCACCAAAAAAAAGAAAATTCTAAAAGGAATATAGGTATATATTTATATATTATCCACATTTTAAATAATTTTCTTAGAAGGTCCCACAACTAATTGTATCATATTACATATACATCCAGAAGACTTGATATATTGTCAAATTATTATTTTTTTGGAAACATTAAGTTTATTCATCCACTGGAGGTGTATGCCCTTAGCAGTACTAAATATTAGGGGTTTTTTTTTTTTGGTACCGGGGATCAAACTCGGGTCCTTGTGCTTGCACAGCAGGTGGTAAAACCACTGAGCTAAATCCCCGGCCCAGGTTTTTTTTTTTTTTCTAGGGGTAACTTCTATAAATTTTACTGAAGTATATTAAATACTTTACTGGGATAAACAAATTAAAAATTATTTTAAAATTTTGTTTGACTTAAAATTTTGATTTTATTCTAAAATTAAATGCAGAAATTTTCAATAAGCTGTGATTCTCCGTGTCTGACAGATATTGAAGACTTAGCCAGCATTCTTGAGAAATAAGATGTTCTAATCATCTTCTTTTTCATATTAGCTGAGGACTTGCTTAGAAAATCAGTGAATATTTTTGGTTTGAATTATTTTTCTGACAATACTTCTAAAATAAGTATTCATGACAACCAAGATTACTGAACAGTGAATATTTTGTTGATTTTCATATTAACAATGTTTGAGGATTTTCCATTTGTGCTTAGTGGAATAGGTTGTTAAAGTAGAAGTCATGAGGCTTGAGTTGTAGTTTTGATTTTGCTTTTGTAAAAAATAACCGAAACACTTTGATGATTAGTTTCCCTGTCTATAATATATGTACAGTATTGGCTTGGGATGTGGCTCAGTCATAGAGTGTTTGCCTGACATATGTGACGGCCTGGGTTCGATCCCGTGCACTAAAAAAGAAAGAAAGGGCTGGGGATTTAGGTCCTGAGTTTGATCCCAAGTACCAAAAAGAAAATTAAAAAAAAAAAATATTTGTTCATCTTTTGTTTTGCATCTGTATAGGAAATATGAAAGTTTCTGAGGGAAAAAGGTTGGCCATCACATAGAATTTAAGAGAATTGCTTAACTGAATAGTATTTTTAAAGGTTAAAAAATAATAAAAAGAACTAGGGGTATAGTTCAGTGGTGGATCCCTTGCCTACCAAACACAAGGCCCTTGGTCCGATCCTTAGAACCACAAAAAACAAACAAAAATCCAGCAACAGGAAATCTCACCCAACTCCAGATTATATTGATAATTATGGTCTTTGCTTTTCATTGTTAGGCTGTACTACTGAAACATTCATAGTGCAGGATAACCTGATGGCTAATTCTGAACATAAGAAATCACTAAATTTTAAGACTTTTGGGGGAAGGCACTTTGAGGCAAGGTCTCATTATGTAGTTCAGGCTGGCCTCGAACTTGAAGCAGTCCTCCTGCCTCAGCCTCCTGAGTGCTGGGATTACAGGCGTGTGCCACCACACCCTGCTCAATGTTTGTGTGTGTGTGTGTGTGTGTGTGTGTCTCCCATACAGGGATGGAACTCAGCACCTTGTGCTTTCAAGGCAGGTGTGATGCCACTGAGCTAAATCCTTACCCCCAAGACTTTTAAATTTTTAACTGTAAACTAAGACACTAGGTTCCATTTGACAGAAACTTTCAAGCATCCACTTTGCTGGTGACTAGAGATAAAAGTGGTTATATCCAGACTGCCTAACCTTTACTTGAAGAATAAAGTACTTGATGAATGCATTTGATCAATGAATAAGTAAACTATTACAGATATTCATTTCAAGAGGTATTGAAGTTACTTCTGAATATCTGAGATTATACCATTTCTTTCCATTCTTTCTCCCTTTTAAAGGTTAGTCGTTCATCTTTGCTAATAGAACAACCTGTGAAAAAAAGGCCTCTTTTGGATAATCAGGTGATAAATTCTGTGTGTGTTCAACAAGAGCTACAGAACAATACAAAGCATGCAGATAATTCATCTGATACAGAGATGGAAGACATGACTGCTGAAGGTTTGTGGATTTTTACTTTTACTGCTTAAATATGACATGGATTTTTGTTCACTGCTTTTTATTTTAATGGTCTCATTATGTTGTCCAGGCTGGCCTTGAACCTGTGGTTCTACTGCTTTAGCTTCCTGAGCACCTGGGATTATAGACATACCCTACTGTGCTAACCAGATTCTTAATGACCAAATAAGTAAAATAACAAGATATATGCTAATTGGTACAGTATTAGTTTGACTTTTGAAGGACTGTAGATAGGAAAAATACCATTTATGAGAGAAGGTAATTCAGAATTTTTGCATGAGAACAATCAAATCTCCTTTTTTTAAAAACAGACTTAAGTAGTAAATGACCATTTTATTGAGTAAGCTTTAAAATTTAGAGCTTCTGAGTCATTTGGTTTTAGACTTTCCATGTTCTGATGTTTGACACCAGGTGGGTACTATAATTATATTAGGGATGTATTCTTTAATCAAGAGGTGTTTATATTTATTCAAAGAGAAATATATCACTATATCTCCTAAGGTTGAAGGATTCTTTTTAACGTACTTTATTCTAATAATGAATATTTCATAGAAGTAAAAATGATTGAAATGACTGAAAGAAAACAAACACAAACCAAAAAATGATATATTTTACACCTTGAGTTTGTTACTTAAAATCAACAAATGCTTGTATTGCTTTTTGGTTTAGGTTCTGAATGTCTGATTAAAAAAAAAAACTAGTGGTGGGCCGGGATTTAGCTCAGTGGCACCGCACCTGCCTCTCAAGTCCAAGGTCCTGAGTTCGATCCCTGGTACCAAAAAAAATTTTTTTTAAACTAGCTATATTCTGTAGAAACATCTTTGTGAGATTATTCCTAACTGATTCTGATCATGGCCCCACAATTTATAGTTTGTAGTATAGTCAAGGCTCTATCTATAGTAGTGAATTAATTAATATCTATAAGGAATTATCCTTAGTATATTAGTATATTTCATCTAAAATCAGTTTATTCATTTTGCAAATATTTATTGAGCCTACAATAATACATAATGTGCCAGTACATTGCTAAATTAAGCAAAATAACATTCTGGTAAAAGTGAATGTCTGTAGTTTTTATAACTAAAAAAGGAGGGCACCTTTGTCATTGTTGGTACTTTATGAATTCTTGCAATATATTTGTCACTGTTTTACTTCTTATTTGAACAGCTGTAAAATTTTATTTTTATTGCTAACATATATTGGTTCAGTTGGGATTTCTTTAATTTAAAAGATTGTTACCCCTGAAGAATTTCAAACATACATACAAGTAGAGAGAATTGTATGTTAATGCCCCATCCAGACTCATCATCATGACCCAATCTCCACATTATTTTGCCACATTAGCTGCATGCATCTTTTTGTTTCCTTCCCTTCCTCCATTTCTCCCAACTCTTCCTCCCTTCCTTTTCTTCTTCCCTCGGTACATTTCTTTCCTTCCTTTCATCCTTCTTGCCTGCCCTCCCTCCTCTTCCCCTTTTGTTTCTGGTTTTTTTTTTTTTTTAACTCTTGTTTTTATTTTTATTTTTGTTGTTGTAGTTTCTCTTTTTGAGACAAGGTCTCACTATGTAGTTCTAATTTCCCTTGAACTCAATATGTAGTCCAGGCTGGCCTTGAACTCACCGTGATCCTCCTGCCTCAGCCTCTTGAGTACTGGAATTATTGTTTCTGTTTTAAAGAAAATCATAGTCCTTGTTTCTTTCTTTCTTTCTTTTTTTGTTTGGTACCAGAGATTGAACTCAGGAACTTGTGCTTGTGAGGCAGGCTATGGAACCACTGAGCTAAATCCCCGACCCTGTAGTCCTTGTTTATTTCAGTGGTACATACATCAGTGTACATCTTTAATAAATAGCCATTTTCTTACATAAGTGTAATGCCATATCACATGTAGTGATGTTAATAATTCTTTGGTGTCAGCTAATACCTGGTCCATATTCAGATTTCTCCAACTGTGTGAAAAATGTTCTTTCATAATTATTTTGTTCAAATTGAGAGGCAAACAAGATCTACATTGTGCTGTTTGTTATGAATTTAATTTCATGTAATTCTCAAAACTTGTTTTCAGTTATTCACACTGTTTTATCTGAGACCATTTTTCATTTGAGATGAAAAATAGTATAGATGAATATACAGATACTCTTTTTTTCTTGCTTTTATCTACAGTGAGTATATAAAATGAAAGCCCTAGGTTAAAAAGTGCTTGTAATGTGCCCCCTTGTGTACAGATATGGGAGGAACCTGGAAATCAGCCTAGGAAACTTCACAGCATATCTCATGATACTCATGATTCATAGTAGTATCGTGAACATGCAGCATGTGCTAGACTGTGCTAGAAACTGAGGGGCATATATAGAAATAAAATATGCCCTTTTTCCTCCAGGAGCTTTTAATTTAGTTTGGAGCCAGGAAATCTCCATAACATAATAACTAAGATGAAAAAATGCTAAGTTTTCAATAAAGAAGAATTTAGAACTGGCTGAGATTATTTCCAGTGTGATTAGTTTCTTATAGAGATGACATTTGACCTGTGTCTTAGGTTTTTTTCTTTAGCATAGATTTAAGATAAACAGAAGAACAGTTCAGGTTAGTATACCATGGATAAATGCACAAAGGATGTAAAGTGCTAAGTGAGGTGGCAGTGAAGAGTAGAAGGTGAAATTTGAAGAATATCCCAAGTTAAAGAATGGCAGAGTCAAATTCTAAAATACCTTCAGATAATAAGAGTTAGAGGTTATCTTGACATGAACAAGTGTGTTTTTGTAAACTTTGCTGGTCATCCGCAGGATGATATAGAGGTTTGGAATGTCATTTGACGCCGGTAGTCATGATGGGAACAGGGAGAAAGGGACTGGAGGGAGACAAAACAAAAAGGGTAATAACAGGACAAGATGCTAAAGTAAAGAAAAGAAGATTTTAAAATGATTAATATATTTCATAATGGAGATATACTTACATAAATTGCACAAAAATTTTTAAGATTTCATTTTTTAATTTCCCAAGGTAATTTTGTAAGTTCCATGTTTTAATTACTGTTTACTCCAGTGTTTATCAGAGATACTACAGGGTGAAATGGTGACGTTGCTTATTTAGTGGCTTTGGTTTTGGTGGTATATACAATTTTCACACAAAAAAATTCATGGTAAGGATTACTCTCTATTTAAAGGATAAACTATGGCTTTACTTGGACTATAACCAGAATCTTCAACTACTGGATCATGATTTATCAGACTATCTTATTTCCCTGGCAAATCATCACATTGACTATGCTTTCCTCATTTGCCTCTTTTTGCTGCTGATCCTCATGTGATTTAAAAGTTTTGGGGATACTTATATTAATTAGGATATAGGTTTGTCCATTCTACTAGAAACCCAGAATAATATTTGATTAAGATAAAAAGGTTAGTTTTTTTCTCATGTAGTTTACAGTTCAGCAGTCCAGAGCCTTGGTGATCATGGGCCCCCTAACTCCAGTGTCTTATATCTATGCCATTCCTAAAATGTTGTTCTCATTTCTACAGTGGCTGATCTTCTTGATCACATTTTAACCACTGAGACAGAGGAAAGGTACCATCTAGAGTTTACAAGCATTTCCACTTACATTCCAATGGTCGGAAGTCAGGCGTACCTAGGGGAGAACTAAAATTTTAACCTGGGTAATCATGTTCTTAGGGTTTTGAAGAAGAATGAATGCTGGAGAATTATCAGGTGTCCTCACTATAGATCCCATTTTTATTAGCTAAATCAACAGTTTTTAAATTCATTTGGTTCTGTAATTTTTTAAATTCACAAATGTGAAAAAGTAAACTTGGGAATTGTGTTAGTTACTTTTCTCACAAAATACCTGACACTCAAAGTTAAAGGAGGAAAGGTTTATTGTAGCTCACAATTTGTAGCAGTTTCGTTCATAGTTGGCTGGCTCCAAGGCAGAGTGTTATGGCAGAGGAGCATCTCAGAGGAGAAACAGTTAATGGCAGGCAGAAGGCAGCAAAAGCAGCAAACAGCAACGGATAAGCAGCAACAACAGCAGCCCTCTTTCTGTCACTTATATTGTAGCCAGGCTACTCACACCCAGGTAGCACTCACACCCAGGTTGGGGCAGCCTTAATCCTAGCATTGCACTGTGAATCAATCCCAGGATCATATCCTTTATCCCAGCATCACCCTAGATCGAGCTACATCTGAAAAGCTCCACCTATGACCCCTTGAGGCTTTGTAGGATCATCTAGATATAAGCCATAATAAGAATATAACCAGATTTATTAAAAATTTGATCAAACACAGAATAAGAATTTCTGAACTATTAATTTTCCTCACTTTTGGCGGGGGCTTGAGATAGGGTCTTGCAATATAATTCAGACTGGCCTTGAGCTCACTATTAGCCCAGGCTGCCTCAAATTCATGGTGATCCTCCTTCCTCAGCCTCCTGAGTGAGTGCTGGGATTACAGGCATGCACCATCACACCCAGCCCTCTCTTCACTTATTTATAAGGAAGAAAATTGTTGTACTAGTCAGGCATGGTGGCCCATGCTTGTAATCCTAGCACTCAGGAAGCTGAGGCAAAGGGATTGCAGCGAGTTCAAGGCTAGCCTGGGCTATACAGTGAAACCCTATCTCAAAAAAAACCAGGGCCAGGGATTTAGCTCAGTGGTGCTGCACCTGTCTGTTAAGTGCCAAGTCCTGAGTTTGACCCCCTGTACCAAAAACAAAACAAAATGAAAACAAAAAGCAAACAACCCCCCAAAAAACTAATTTGTTACATTGTTAACTTTAAGCCTATCTACTTGGTATTTCCCCTTTCACTACCAAAAACAATTTTCTTCTTCATATAAGCTATTCCAACCTTTTATCAGGTATTATACATTGCTTTGCTAATATTGAAAAAAATCTTTGAAGCAGAGTTTTGACCATAGCCTCTTCTTGGGACAACTTGAGGAATAGACTCTTAAGGCAGTACTGATTGAGAGGTTCTGTCCTTTGTATAGGATTTTCAAGGTCAGATAAAGTTATATGCTTGACAAAATAATATATTTAGGAGTTATGATATCAGGTCCCAGGAATGTGTTGATGGATGTTCTAACTTGGTCACAATTGTGACAAAGCCATCCCTAAATCATTAGAAAGGACAATTTTTATTTGTCTTGATTTCGTTTCTTCCTCATTGGAAGTAAATAGATGACTTTTGTGTGTGAAGATAGTCCTGAGAATTTTCCTAAAATGACCACTTGGGGGCTGGACATTAGCTGAGATAAAGTGCCTGCTTAGCATGTAGGAAGGAGGACTTGGATTCCATCTCCAGCACTGGGGGTTGGGGGCGAGAAACAAAAAGAATAAAAAAATGCCACTTAGTTCATAAGTTCATTTGAATAATGAATCTGGAGTCCCACCATTGTCAAATATTACTCCATAATACTGCTTTTAGTAGTTCTTGCTACTCTCACTTGACTTAGTGTTTTTCCCAATCTACCTTTCTAATAAAGCTAGGATAATGTGGGTTCTCAGCTTACTGAGAATTGCCACCTATGCCTACATTTTATACTCCCTGCCTTCATCTTAACCAGTTTTCTTTAAATGAGTATATGGAAAGAGCACATATGGAGCTCACAGCTAAAAGTTTTAGTTAGTTGGGTACTTTTTGTTGCATGTTTTATTTGACTTGGCATTGGAATTATGAAGAAAACGGCAATATGTGGTAGATTTAAGAATTTAGCAGGTTTTACTTAAGTATTATGTATTACATCTTAGTACTCTTAGTTTTTATATGAAAAGTAGAATATGGAACTGTCATTGTTTTTATATTCTGCCGTCTGTTGGGCACTCACTTTATTGTCACCTCAATTCTTTGAGAAAGGTCTTATTAACCTCATTTTATAGATGAGAAAACTAGGTCATGAAGATTGACTTGTAGCTTAACACATGATGCTGCTGAGGATTTGAGGATTTAGTTTGGAAGATTCTCTGGGTCTCATTCTCATCCTATGGCCTGAAGAAAGATGTAGGGGGCTGGAAATTTAGCTCAGTGGTTCCAGCACCTGCCTTGCAAGCGCAAGGTCCCGAGTTCGATCCCCAGTACCAAAAAAAAAAAAAAAAAAAAGATGTAGGGGTGGAAGAACATTCTAATTTAACAGGAGAGCATTCTGGAAAAAGCATAGGCAGTTGGAAATTATAAAACTATTTGTGATTTTTAAGACTAAATTACTATTTTATATAGTGTAATATACTGTAAAAGGAACTATTTTATTAGATACATACATCTTTATATAATCCACTATATTTCTATATATAGTTTCTATATTTCCCCTTTTTCATATATTCTGCAGATATTTTAGGAACTCAGTTATTTTATATGCTCCTCTAAAATGAGACACAATAGGGCTGGGGATGTAGCTCAATGGCGCCACCCCTGCCTGACAAGTGCAAGGTCCTGAGTTTGATCCCCGGTACTAGAAAAAAAAAATGAATAAATAAAATCAGACATAATAAAAATTCCACCATTTTGAAGTCATCCTCATTTTCTACAGTTAGAATTAAGGCTTGCCTGCTATGTGTCTCCACAGCACAATATACCAAAATTCATATCCCAGACTGTTTTGAGTGTATCTTCTGGAGGGTAGTGATTATGTATTATTCATCTTTGTTTCTTACACAGTATTTATGAAGTTGTTTGCACATTTTACAGATGCTGGAATCTTTTTTCCTTTTGTTTCCTTCTTTTTTTAGAGACATTAGAAGAAATGGACAGTGAGTTGCTCAAGTGTGAATTCTGTGGGAAAATGGGATATGCTAATGAATTTTTGCGGTCAAAACGATTCTGCACTATGTCATGTGCTAAAAGGTATTTCTTTGTTCTTGAATTTCTGAAAGAGACAAACCAACAAGCCCTGCAACAAAACCCAAAAACCCTCATATGGTTTAACAATGGTTAAACCTAGATATTATAACACAGAAGAATAAATAAAGCATTAGCTGGAGCTACTTTGGTGCCTGTTTTTTATAATACTTAGAATAAGTTTTATTGTGTAACCTAATATTGAAGTAGCAATCTGCTGGTGGTAAAAATATGTTTTGAAGAATCCTGTGAAATGATCAGGATAGTATAGAATAGTACTAGTCTCTAAGGCATTGAAATACTATTTATCAACTGAGTGTTTTTATCAATATTGAAATACCTGAATTTATTTAGCTTTAAATTTTTTTGTTTAAATAATATCCTTAATTTTGATTTCTAAATGGTACTGCTAGAGCATAAGTTCTCCACACTGTTAATATCAGACAGCAAAATGACTTTTTGAGATTAATATTTCCAGTTATTGTAGGCAAAAAAGCAAAACAAAATTGTCTCTTCATTAAGCTTACAATTTCTTAGTTCACATTCTTAAGAACTCCTTGTGGTTCAGATATAAATCTCAGTTGAGGAGTATACACAAGTTGATTATTTTGAAATTTGTTCTCTTTAAAAAAGAAATTTGTCTCTCAAAGAATTTATAAGCTTTTAATTGTATACATCTGGGAATTTCTTCCTTGAACATTTTATTTTGTATGGCTGCCACCAATATAGACATAATAAAACTTAAATAAAAGTAAGTTTTCTTGAAGAATGGGTTCATTGTTTCAGTTGTCAATCTGTTATTCAAATATTCTTTCATGTTGATAGAACTATAATAAAATTATATTGAACTCATGTTTTAACTAGAATTTTCAGTTTGGATATATTCAAGAAAAATAATGCCTTTCTGATACCAAATAATTAAAAACTCTAAAAAACCCCCTTGAGTCTATAGACTACCTTTCAGGATATTTTAAGCTTCTTGTCTAGAACTATTTCAGGGTATTTAATGCTACCGTTACTCTCCTTGTACAGATGATTGCTGAGTTGTCACATTATTATTCCTTTAGATGAGCCTCTTTAGATGGTTAGCAACCCTGAAACAGGGAAATGCAGGTGAGAGGGCAAGGATAAGGATAAATTAGATCTGGGTAGAACTGCTGCTGTAGCTGTTTGAATTTAGCTGTTGGGTCTTGGAGAGCTAAGTATTTATGGACTAAATATCAACTATAAAATTAGTCTTCTCAGAAAATAAAGATGTTTTGTCAGTTGGTATAATTAGAAATCAAAAATCTATATTGCTGAGCCCAGAGATGAACACATAGTAAACATAGCATGGACGCTTGAATTGCTTTAGAGTAAAATGAAATGTCCATCAAGACATTTTTATACTTCTACTGGGGGCAAATACCCTATTCATTCTCATAGGATTCCTTATTTTCACCTCTTTATATTTTCATAAAGCATGGGAGAGGAAAATTTATTTTGGTATCTGGCTTATAGTCTTAGAATAGTTATCAAAAGCAAAGTTAATTGGGATTTTTTTCTTAGAGCAGAAGAGTTGAAAATAACGTATAGAGGAAATAAGAAAATTCAGGTGAATTTCAGAAGTTTACAAAATACTTGTTGTTTCCTCATTAAAACAGCTTAATGTTCATTTTCCCATTATTTTTCACTGGGATAAAAAATAAGGGTGTTTGAGAGCCTACTTTCATGCAAAGAGTTCAGTATTAAACATTATTTTGCCTAAAAATTAGCATTTCAGTGCTTTCTAGAAGAAATATTTTATAAACTTTATTTCATAGCAAAATTACCAAATTTGTATAGAAATTCACAAAATTAGAGGATTGACAATTGTTTTGTGAAGAATTTGTAAATTGTGTGTAAATCTCTTCTAACATTTAATAAAATTTTATTTTAGCCTAAAAAAAGTGTAGAGGAGTCTCATGTGTTTAAAAAAAAAAAGGAACTGCATATATTTCTCTTAGCTTTTCTACAGCTTTTCAGAAGTTTCTTACACAGTCTTCTTCTCTTGCTCTTCTTTCTAGGAAAACTCACCCAGGCCAAGTCCTTCTAGCTACTTATATTTCACATGCCCTTTGAGTTAAGGATGGCTTTAAATTTTATAGATGATTAGAAAAAATAAAAAATAATATTTCATGACATATAAAAGTTATGTGAAATTCAAATTTAAGTATCTGAAAAGACTAGCATAGCCATGGTCATTCAGTATTTTCTATGGCCATTTTCACATTACGTTGACAGAGTTGAATAGTTGTGGCAGAGACTTTTGTGGTGCACAAAACCTAAAGTACTTACTGTGTGGTCCTGTGTAGGAAAAGTTTCCTAAACCTTATTCTAGGACTTTGTAACCTACTAGATGGCATAGGATTCTTTTAAGCCATTGTCATGGCTTATAAATGATCTGTTTTTAAAAATACAGTATTAGGTAGTCTGTATTGAATTTCCTGGAAGCAATGAATTTCTTGTGTTTCACTCTTTATCTTTTTACAGCGGGAGTGGGGTTGGGATTGAACCCACATGTTAGGCAAGAGCTCTGCCATTGAGCTACCTCCCAAGCCCTTTCTATTTTTTATTGTGAGACGAGGTCTTGCTAGGTTACACAAGCTGGACTCAAAATTGTGATCCTCCTGCCTCAACTTCCTGACTAGCTAGGATTACAAATGGCACTATTATGCCTGGCTCATTCTTTGATTTTAGTAATGCTTGAGAAATCTTTTTACTAGCTGCATGAAATCTTCTCTCTGCTACATCAGTTTCTTTTTTATTTATCTCTCTTCAGAAATTATTACTATTCCATTTGAATAGACATTCTAAATATTACCAAAATTTTCTACTGGAACCTTGAATTTTGCTATTCTGAAAATTAGTGAAATTTTCACTGTTATGCTGTAATTAGGAGAAAATATGAGTACTCTTGTTATAGGTGTCCAGTATTATAATTGAGATATATATTATGATATACACAGAGGCCATTTTTAACCTGTAGCATAAATAAATCCATTGAACAATATGAATTTACTTTATGAGGTATTATAGTCCCAAGTCGAGAATATAACACTTACTGATTTATAATTGCAAAGTTGAAATTAAATACTATGTATTTTTAATGTATATCTTTTGATATGTTTTCTCATTTGAATTTCTAGGTACAATGTTAGCTGTTCTAAAAAATTTGCACTTAGTCGTTGGAATCGAAAGCCTGATAATCAAAGTCTTGGGCATCGTGGCCGTCGTCCAAGTGGTCCTGAAGGGGCAGCGAGAGAACATATCCTTAGGCAGGTCTGTAGAAACGTTGCTTCAATGTACAGTACCCTTTTCAGAAATGCAAGGAAAGTACATGCTGTATTTTACTTGTACTACATTTTCCAGCTTCCAATTACTTATCCATCTGCAGAAGAAGACTTGGCTTCTCATGAAGATTCTGTGCCATCTGCTATGACAACTCGTCTGCGCAGGCAGAGTGAGCGGGAAAGAGAACGTGAACTTCGTGATGTAAGAATTAGGAAAATGCCTGAGAACAATGACTTGCTTCCAGTTTCCCAGACAGAGCCCTCTATATGGACAGTTGATGATGTCTGGGCCTTCATCCATTCTTTGCCTGGTATGTAATTTACTATTTTGTCCTTAATGTTGTTATTATTTGTTCACACTCAGGAATGATGTTAAATCCATCCACACTTTTTGTACAAACAGGCTAGAGAAGTTCTGTATGTATGTATAAGTTAAATGTCATTTGCTATTGAAATGTGATCTATTTCCTCTTGCTTATCCCCTCAGCACAACTGGGTATATTTTCATACTCCCCAAGTCAATAAAAACTGACTAGTCTGCTTCTGCTCTGACACCCCAGCTGGTGAAGATATTAAAGTGTTCTCTTCTCTTCAGTCTGATTTCTCTTGAGAAGTCAGTAGAGAGATTGAGTCAGAAACTTCTTCCCTTCTGCTCTTCTATTTTTCTATTTCTTCTTTATTCTTTAAACTTTTTTTAAAGTGAA